GTTCACTCCAGCGGAGGTCTCCCGGTTGGCCAGATTGCGTGGGCATGTAAACGCGCGCCCACGATTTCCGGTGTCTGTGTCTGCACAGACGTGATTTTTGGCGTCTGTGCAGGCGCAATTTCCGGCGCCGCAGAAGCGAGTCCCCACACCACGCCGGTTTAGTGCAGCGCGCAGGGACTCGCTAAGTGGACAGCTCGGTTCAGGGTTGGCTTGTGGGCCAGTTAATAATAATAATAATAATAATAATAATAATAATAATAATAATAATTTATCATTTATACCCCTCCCATCTGGCTGGGTTTCCCCAGCCACTCTGGGCGGCTTCCAACAGAATATTGAAATACAGTAATCTATTAAACATTAAAAGCTTCCCTAAACAGGGCTGCCTTCAGATGTCTTCTAAAAGTTTGGTAGTTATTTTTCTCTTTGACATCTGGTGGGAGGGCGCCACTACCGAGAAGGCCCTCTGCCTGGTTCCCTGTAACTTGGCTTCTCACAGCGAGGGAACTGCCAGAAGGCCCTCGGCACTGGACCTCAGTGTCCGGGCAGAACGATGGAGGTGGAGACGCTCCTTCAGGTATACTAGTTAACGATCCCCGTGGGCCGCTTGTGGCCCATGGGCCTTAGGTTGCCTACCCCTGCCTTACAACTTATAGTTTATCTGGGTCATGTGGCCAGTATGACTAAGCTGCTTCTGGCGAACCAGAGCAGTGCACGGAAATGCCGTTTACCTTCCCGCTGGAGTGGTATCTATTTATCTACTTGCACTTGACGTGCTTTAGAACTGCTAGGTTGGCAGGAGCAGGGACTGAGCAACGGGAGCTCACCCCGTCGCGGGGATTCGAACCGCTGACCTTCTGATCGGCAAGTCCTAGGCTCTGTGGTTTAACCCACAGCGCCACCTGCATCCCAGTGTTGTATTACCTTGATTAAAATTATGGTAAAAGGGGAGAGGGAAGTCCCAACCTGTTAAATCATCTGCTCCCTGCCTAAAGTTTAAAGGAGTGGCTAAACTGACACAGGAGAAGCAGTAGCTGTGCTAACTTGCATTAGGCACAGTGTGAAAACATTTTGAGTGCCACCTCCTCCCATTAGCCTTAAGGCTTTAAAACAGGAGAATTGTAGCACCATAACAGATGTAACACTTGAAGCAGACTTACTGTGGCGTAAACCTCCAAGGAGAAGAGAGCCCACTTCATCATATGCGTGGAAGTAGTAGGCAGGTAAACAACCAGGTGTAGAGAAAACATATGTAAATGCACTCCCCATCTCATGCCAAAGTACCTTAATATGGCTGAAAGAGTATTTAAGAAGGAAAAGGAAATCAAAGTACAGTGGTGCCTCGCAAGACGAAAAGAATCCGTTCCGCGATTCTTTTCTTCTAGCGGTTTTTTCGTCTTGCGAAGCAACCCCATTAGCAGCTTAGCGGATTAGCGCTATTAGCGATTTAGCGCTATTAGCGGCTTAGCGGCTAAGCTGTCAAAAGGATATTAACAGCTTAGCCGCTTTGAAAAAGGGGAGGAAGCAGGGGGGGGAATGGCGAGACTCGCAAGATGTTTTCGTTTTGCGAAGCAAGCCCATAGGGAACTTCGTCTTGCGAAGCGCCTCCGCGACGGAAAACCCTTTCGTCTAGCGGGTTTTCCGTCTTGCGAGGCATTCGTCTTGCGGGGCACCACTGTAAACAAGAACAGCAGTGTGTGTGTGTGTGTGTGTGTGTGTACACAACCCCTGCAGCAGCTCGGTGAGCCTCAAATTAAAGCTGTCTTTACTTTTCGCTAGAAAGCTGAGAGTCATACTTCCCAACAGTTATAAACAGTTGAGCCAAAAGACCATTAAAATCCAATGACTATTCTATGCAAAGTCCAGTTCTATACAGAATGACCACAGTGACTTTTTGCAACAGCAACTTTTTGCAACAGCAGTAATAGAAAATACTTGCATTTTGTGGTGGGAGCGAACACTTTTGATTTCACTTGAGTTCTGAATGGGGATGGGCGTGTTAGAAACCAAGCGTCATATGGGAGGCTGGGGGGCAGCCCTTCTCTCAGATCCTTTGATGATGGCACCAGTAGATGGCATTCTGCTCTGTTCAGCTAAGATTATGTGGTAGGCTGATCTGCTTGCAGATTTCTCAGATTGGGAATAGCAAGAAATCACTATCTTTAAAAGCATAATTCCATCCTGTACCCATCAGAAGGGACCATGGATCCCCAAACTGCAAATTATTAAAGTGTTTGGGTGTGATGGAAAGGGGATTTTTGCTATGAAGTCAGAAGGACAGAACTTTTTTTATGTATGCAACAGCAGCAGCAAGAATTCTTATCGCAAAGCATTGGAAGACACAAGATCTACCCACCTTGGAAGAGTGGCAGATGCAATTAATGGACTACATGGAGATGGCGGAAATGACTGGCAGAATCCGAGACCAGGGAGAGGAGACGGTGGAGGAAGATTGGAAGAAATTTAAAATTTACTTGCAGAAACATTGTAAAATTTATGAATGTTAAGGACATTGAAATGTACCCTAGGGGCTTTAGCAACAAAGTAAAATGTAAGATTGGACTAACAAATAGATAAATTAATAGGTAATGAATTTGCTGAATTAATTTTTAAAAAAGGGATACAAGAACGGGGGGCGTGAGGAAGTCGGGAAAATAAGCTAGATGAAAATGAGAAACTAAAAGAGGGAATTTTTGTTTTTTGTTATGTTTTGTATTTTTTGTATTGTATTGTTGTTTGTGATTTTGTTTTCTTTTGTTTTTTTTTGTCTGTCTAAGTTTGTTTATTGTGAAAACCTAATAAAATTTCTATTAAAAAAAAAACAGAAGCAAGTCTCTGGCCTTCAACAGACCAAGCTGGGGAGCTGAAACTCTTCCAAACTTCAATAATTCTTCTTTACACTTTTAATTTAAAGTGTTGGCCAATACAAGAAATAACTTGGAAAAATCTAAATTGCTTGTCTCTTAGATGGGTTTCATTTCATAGTTAACACCTCCCATCCCCCTCACCACTCAAAAGAGACAAATGCACTAAAGAAATAAGCAAAGAAACTTTGAATTCACTGGCAAAACAGAGACAAACTGCATAAAAACGAACAATTACCCCTCTCACCATAAACAAGTAGTAATCTGAAATGATTTCAGAACCTGTTTATTTTTACAAGGAAGGGGGGAATTAAAAAGAGCAAACTTTTCTATGCCCAAGCATTTGACTTATAATTCTTCAATAATTCTATAATTAGAGATGCATTAAATTACTTTGCACTGATGTGGCTGCATGCAGAGCCAAGGATGCATGTAACCCACATATTCTTACACTTTGCGCTATGACCAAACTGAGTTCTGTGGAGAACAAACACCCTTATTTCTCTCCAGAATCTTCAAGCACAGAACAAACCATTTGGCACAGCAAAAAGCTTGAAGAATAGAGTGCTCCTAATGACTCCACAATTTACAATGGAATAATCATCTGGCTCTAAAGCACCCATTCAGCAAAAGAACATTATAGTGTCAGAGGTCAAAGGTGGAGGTTGTTAAATGGGAACAGACAAAAGGAAAGGGCGGAATCCAATAAAGAGGCAAATTAATGGCTGAAACACCATTCAGAATCTGCACTAACTCCATTCAGCTTCACATTCTGCATTCACATTCACATGAGGTCATGGTAAAAAGGAATAAACCAGATTGATCCAATTACTTGGAAAGAGCAAATTTCATTGGCTGCCTGGTAGGTGTTTTTTGTTTTCGGAAAAAACAGAGCACTATTTGAAGGCTAGCATTCTCTAAAAACAGAACTGAACTCTAATCTCAAATCTACTGGAGGAATCATTTAACTACAGCAGTTCCTCAGTTCTTTTACCTAGGGCTGCCATATTTTGAAGAGGGGAAAAAGAGGACGCATTTGCCGACTTCTACTTTTAACTACGGGTCGCTATGGCGACTCTCATTTTAAACACCCCTACTATACGTAGGCTATAGAAGCTGTAGTATATATTGCTAGCAGCAATGTTCTTAACTTTCAACAAACGCCCTTCAGATGGCCATGCGTGTCACCACAGTTTGAAGTTAAGCTGGCCCGGCTTTCTTTGGATCTATTTGCTGAGTCTCCGCCTGAAACTCGTCTTCAAAACACTCACGGGAATCACAGCTTTTCTAAGGCAGGTGATTGCACAAAGTTCTTTTCTTTGCAGATCAAGGACCTATCAATACATTATGCAGATTAAAGCAGCAAATTCCTGAATCGTGCTACTTCTGCTGGCGGGTATGACATATCTGTCAGATCTGAGTGCGCTCCTGCACAGACAGAATTCCCTGCATAACTAGGAAACCAGAGGGGGAAAAAGGTTTAGTGCAGCTTTCTTTGTGGCAAGCTATTGCATATGCAATCCTAGGCTAACATCACATTCTGTGCGATGTGTAGAATGGCTGCAAGTTTAGCACAGTACAAGTTTTAGTGGTAACCAGTAAATTTTAACACCCACTTAATTTGCATGGAAACTAAATGACTAGCAGCAACTGTCCCCCTGCCAAGAAACCCCAAAACTCAAACACCAAACTATTCTGGTTGGCAAGATGCTACCTGCTCAGCTGCTATCCAAGTGGTCATCTTGGTGATGAATACAGCCTACATTTGAGACTCTGTAAACACAAGCCAACATTGGGAAATTGAAATGGTTTACTTTTAAACACTGTGGGTAAGTCTCCTAACACCATAAAAAGAATATCTGCTCCTACTTACAGCAGGCTATAAGGGCTGCAGGTCCTTGTATGATAAATACCAATAAATCCTTTTGGAAAGTATACGTTAGTCTGCATTGCTTGCACACAGAGAAAGCAATATGCATCACTTTTACCAGAATCACATAAGCAGAATTCCTAGGCTAAAGCATTTTGTTACAATATCAACAAAGGACAAGAACGCTGGCTCAAAAGACAAGTATCAAAAGATCACATTCCTAGTTTTTTTTAATAAACAAAAATGCTTTTCGTTCAAAGATTTACCTCTTCTAGAATATATAAAGCTTAGATGCCCGGAGGAAGACAGGTCCTCTAATAGACACACCTCTGGTATTGCCTTGGTCATGTTTCTGGAAGTGGAAGTGGAAGATGTGGACCAGCAAAAACTCTTCTCTCTATTTATTGGAGGGTTGGTCTGAGATCTGGAATCAATGACATCATAGCTTTTGAAGTTAACCAATGAAATTTATTTTATCCCAGATGGGCCAATGGTAGGGAGTTCATTTCTAGGGTACCACCCATGGGATAAAGCAAACCTATTAATAGAAGCATGAGATTGTTGACGTGTAGACCAGTGAAGTGGGAGGCGTTCCCAGAAAAAAAGTATTGTGCAATCTGCCGTGCTTTTCCTTCCTGGAAACAGTGGAAAATGGGATGCCAATTAGCTTTTTTGCTTGCGATAGGCAAAAGGATTTCTATCCCAGGAGAAAGCATATATCCAGGAATCATTGGGAGATGCTATCACTTTGATTGCATTCTGCTGCCCTATCGGTTGATCTTGGGCAAGAGTTATCAGGGGACATGGTGTCCTGTTCTTTTAGATGTGGAGCTACTGGAGGGCTTCTATGCATTCCTGGCAGAAAAGACACAAAAGGTAATTGCTGCTCGGCGCAATGAAACCTTCTTGTGATGTCCCTCTGGGTCCCATTTCACAGCTTCATTTTCAGCCATCGGGAAGTGGCAGGAGTGTTGTTTTCCAGACATAACTCAAGGAGATACTATCTCAACAAGCCCTTAGAAAGCCTGGACCCCCAAAGACATTTCAAGGTCATATCTTCCCTTACATCTGGTTGAAATTGCCACAGCATTCTTCTAGGATACTTTCTCTGCAAAAGTTTAGGCTGCAAGTGGCCAGAAGTGCAGAATAGATTGGGCTCAGCAAAAAGCCTATGCCCCCCTGCAGAGTTGCCAAAGATGGGGTGGCTTTTGTTGGTGATGGTTGATGTTTCAGCCTTATGAAGATCTGTTTTCAGATCCCAAGTTATAACCAGCTGGTGAGTGAGACAAGTTACAAACAAAAAGCAAGAAGAACACTCGAAATGTGGAGAAGCCTCACACAAGTCTCCAAGGTCACTGTGTTTATGTGATGGAGATTCTTGATACCAAGTAAAAAGGCATTGTGCAACCTGTCATGCTTTCTTCACATCCTTGTCAATTTCCCTTGTTTACTATTCATATTTCACATTCTCTTTGAAAGTGTGTTTCTTTGGGGTTCATTGTTTGATCGGGGGCAGACTATTGTGATACTTTGGCTAGATTCTTTGGATGAGATCTGTGTGTGCTGGTCTGATCCCGACAGCTTGAGACCGTGGGTGGGGAAGGGAGAACTTAATGATTACTGATCACAGTATTAAAAATCACAAGAGAATTGCAGGCTGAAAAGTGACATGAATTCCTTAGGTGAAAAGGTAAATCTCTGGACCAAGTTTTCGAGCGAAACATCACATTATTTAACATTCCAACAAACGGCATTTGGGAATGAGCTACATTTTCTGATTTACATCAAACGTTTATTTCTCTTCTCTTTGCCTCCTTTGTTCCTCCCCCTGCCCAACTTTCTGTCCTATGGGTCATAAACTCTGTTCTTCAAAATAAAATAAAATGAATGCGGGATGGAGGTGAGTGGGGACAAGAAAGATTGAAAGCAACACTGAAAACAATATAATCCAACTCAGGATATTTCATCCACCTCGCCTTTTGTTACCCCACAAGTACAGTGGTACCCCGCTAGATGAATGCCCCGCTAAACGAAAAACGCGCAAGACGAAAGGGCTTTCCGACATTTTTCTGCTTCGCAAGACGTTTTTTTCTATGGGGCTTACTCGCAAAACGAATTTTTTTCCGTGGTCTCCCTTTTTTTTTTGCCTTTTCTGAAAGGCGCTAAGCTCCTTATCTCTAAATTGCCGCTTATCCGCTAATCCGATAAGCGCTAAAAGCCGCTAAAAGCCACTTATCAGCTGTTTTACCGCTTATCAGCTGATCGGCTGATAGCGGAGCTCCGCAAGACGAAAATCCCTGCAAGACGAAGGCTCCCGCAGAACGGATTATTTTCGTCTTGCGGGGCACCACTGTACACAAGCGGCAGCCCCCAGACTGACTCCAAGGATAGACCCACATAGTAATCCATCTGGGAGGTTACACAGGGCAGGGGAGGCAACTTCCTGTCTTCCACGATCCAGGAACCACTCACTCACAACTTTCTTTCCCTGATGTCCAGAGAATGAGCAAGTAATAAACTGAAAATACAGACATATACACATATCCTCTCCTTCTTCTTTGCCAATTGGTGAACACTTTGTTTTATTCCAGAAGACTTTTGCTTCATGCAGCAAGTAATTTTTTTAAGTGTTTGTTTTTAAGTGATGGCTCCTGTTTCTTTTAGATAATTGTAGATTTCAAACACTGTAAGATGCACAGAGTGTGGGGTACAATTGCTTTTAATAAAATAACTAGATGTCATATTGAGAGGGTGAACACACAGAAGGGGGAATTTTAATGAATTGATAATTCTTCTACAATTGCATCCACGGCTGAAAACAGTCCTCAGACAATTATTTGTTACTTGAAAAAAAGAAAAGAAAAAGAAGACATACAGATGATGTATGTCATTTTTAAAAATCAAGATAACCTTGTCGTTAGACAACTACTATTCTTCCTGTTTCTTCTAAAACTCCCCAGTCAAGTCTCCCTGTAGATAGCATGGTCACATGTGCTATGGCTACAGTTCATTAATACAAGTATTGCTTGACGAGCCGTGTGTCAAAGCATTTGTCCTTCCAGGCTGTGATGCCTCATGATTAACATTTTTTATTATTGTGTTTTCTTTGCTGCTGTTATGTTTGCATTTTGTTGCTGTTATCAAATTAATACAAAAGGGAAAGCATTTCTTCAATAACGTTTCTCTATCAAAATTCACTTCTGTCTTTTGGCAAAATATTCCACAGATACGGAAATGATAGGAAGATGGGCTCTGTTGGAAGATGAGCTTTTGCTGATGAAGCCTGCTTAAAGTTTTGGAGGGGCTTTGAAGGGGACCTAGGGACAACTGGGACATGGTGGTGCTGTGCTGTAAACCACAGAGCCTAGGGCTCGCCGATCAGAAGGTCGGCAGTTTGAATCCCCGCGACGGGGTGAGCTCCTGTTGCTCGGTCCCAGCTCCTGCCAACCTAGCAGTTCGAAAGCATGTCAAAATGCAAGTAGATAAATAGGTACCGCTCCGGCGGGAAGGTAAACGGTGTTTCCGTGCGCTGCTCTGGTTCGCCAGAAGCAGCTTAGTCATGCTGGCCACATAACCCAGATAAACTGTCTGCAGACAAACATCGGCTCCCTCGGCCAGTAAAGCGAGATGAGCACTGCAACCCCAGAGTCGTCTGCTACTCTGCCTTTACTGTCAGGGGTCCTTTACCTTTAGGGACCATTAGCTTAAGCTGTGATGCTAAGCACATCTATCAGCAAAACTGGCCCAACCCCTAGGCTTTGTTATGCTTTACAGGCATAGCTATAAATAGAACAGTTGGATTACTGGATCAGCAAGCTTCACCACCAGGCCACTGGCAAAATGTAAGTGTCCCCACAGACTTCCATAAATGTACCTCTACCTGAGGTTGAATTTCTCTTTTTTTCATCCCTGGTTTGTTTTTGTTTTTTTAATGCTGCATAAAGCAAATACAGACAAAAATAAATAGCAATACAGCATTTTGTGAAACATAAAAGAAATTACAAAAAAATTCCTTCCAGTAGCACCTTAAAGACCAACTAAATTAGTTCTTGGTATGAGCTTTCATGTGCATGCACACTTCTTCAGATACACTGTGTATCTGAAGAAGTGTGCATGCACACGAAAGCTCATACCAAGAACTAACTTAGTTGGTCTCTAAGGTGCTACTGGAAGGAATTTTTTTGTTTTGACTATGGCAGACCAACACGGCTACCTATCTGTAACTGGAATAAAAGAAATTGTCCATTTTGAATTTGGTGAGAGGGAAATCCTCCCCAGGGCAAGAGCCCTCTGCTATTACTGCATATACCGTTGGTTAAAGTCTAATTTATCACAACTCAAATCAGCTATGATAGATACACTCATCCTTCAAGGAATGTTAGTCACCTGCCAACTCATATAGATAAGAGCCGCAGTCCCCAATGATATGCTTTTGCCATTCAAAATCCAGTTCCCTTTTTGCCCTGTCACTCAGTTCATGAACAGGTAGCCTTCATCCCCCCCCCAAAAAAACCCTCCACATTTCAGTCCAAAAGGGTCATGTAAGCACAAGTTACTCTCCTCAGTGAAACATCTTAAACGTAAGCCATTAAAATGTGCCTTCTTTCCACAACAGACCACTGCAGAATTTACAGACTTGTTTTTAAAAAGGGAGACTAGAAACCATGAAAAGAGGAAAAATCCGGCTACCTGAGCCCAGGAACACACAGCATCTAAAAGAGGAAGACACGTACCTGCCGACAGATGCCATTTCCTCTACATTTTATAACCCCGCGTGCAGTTTTTACCATTATTGCCACAATAAACCATACGATAAAATGGATTGCCTTGCTGACTCGAGTACCAGCTGGTTAGTAGAAAAGTGGCTCCCCCCCCTGAATGATTCAGTCTCCTTGACAAATATACTGCATTGTACTAGATGAGTCATCAGAGGACTATTCTGCATTTTATAGGCCAGTTGCGTAGTTCCTCATGTTTCAGCATTCCCACAGTGAATTAAACCAAAAACTGACCAAACACTTCCACCTTTACTCTTCCACCTTCTCCGTTGGTGTTGTTTTAAAAACCAACAGCAGCATCCTGCTATTCCCATTTATATCCTGCCCTCACCACTGAACAACCACCCTTGCATTGCCCTGAACCAACTGAATGTCTCAGCACTGCTTCTGATGCGAGGAGGTTAAAAGCTGCAACACAAACATTTTAATCAGGACCGCTAAGGATGCTAGGGGCTGGTGCAGTTCCGATTTGGTGCAATGTACCAGATGGTGGAGTGGACCACACCTGCACAAAACAGTGACCAGCCGAGGCAAACACATGCCACAGAGCCACGCGAGGCAGCCCACGGACCTCTGAGAAGTTAGCAAGAGCCTTGCATTGTGGCTTATGGACGGAATCTGTTAAAAATAGCTTCCCCTGATAAAA